GTGTAGGTTAACAAAGATTTTATACAATTAGAAAGACTGGTGATTTTAAATTTTAACAGGCAGTGTAACAGCTACGTAAGAATACACACCTGATGATGGCCATTTAGGGCCGAAACATGTAGTGTGGAGGAGGGAAAGAAAAAAGAACTACAATTAAATTGTTACACTTAAGAGGGTGTTTGTCTCATATATAAAGTTATGTATCTCATTGTCATGCCACATAACTAATCAAAATTTTTTAGTTGAGTTTCATATATTGGATTTATCTACCACGCTTTCTCAGTATAGTCATGGAATATATTTCTGACAGGTAGTCTTCCAGCTGTCGGATCAGACAGGAATTAATAACCCACCACCTTAAAGAAAACTAGCATGGTACTCCTAGGAGGTTGAGATGGGCAGAGAGAAATTTGACAATAAATATTAAAACATATTCTAAGTTCTTTTACTTATGTTCTCACAGTATGAGGGTACAGAATTATTTCCTTATATTGTATTGTATAATTTTGTTTTATTTCAGTGTGGCCTTAAACAATGATCTCAACAATATTGTTCAGCAATTCTCAGAACATTATCATGATGCATGGGCTAGTAGGAAACTGGATAATGGTTGGGTGTATGGAGAGCAGTGGTCTGATGCTAACAAGACTCACCCTCGCTTGAAACCATATGGCATGCTGAATGACTATGTAAGTATACTGTATTGAAAAGATGTCATAAAAATTACACAGTAAACTCCCCATTATCCAGCATGTATTAGGAATGGGATGTACATGTACAGTTACATGATCTGTTGGTTGCATGAGAAAAACTTACAGAACTCAGTTTTCATGTGATTTTTACTCTTTTCCAATTTTTTACATATTTCCACATAAATCATAATGTTCCCATGTATGCTATATAGTCTCCACACTAAAGGTGTCATTGAATAACCTGCAAGAAAGTGTCTTCCTTATTATACAATACCCTAAATTGCTCATGTCAGGTCTAGTCTTGGAAACTACTTAACACACAGAGTTCACTATATGTGTATGTGTTTTGTATATAAATTCTTCTTTTTCTCAAATAAAATAATTTTCATACATTCAGGAGAAAGAGCGTTATAAGGAACCTGTGAGAGAGTCCTTGAAGGCCCTGCTTGCTATTGGTTGGACTGTAGAGCACTCTGATGTTGAAGTACCATCAAACAATAGAAATTCCACAAGAAGATCATCCAAAACAAACCCTGTAAGTACAACTTCAAGTGTTCCTCATTAGTTTCATGTTTTCTTATGTCACCTGTTCTAGTGCTGATCACAGAAATATTGCCAAGTTCAAGAAATATTTTCATAGCACCATATGTGTCCGGTCTTACTTCATGGTATCATTTAGGACTTAATGTCAAGTAGAAAAAGTTAGTGCAGCATTAGTTCTGTTTCCAACTGGACACTTCAGGTGGCCACAGGAGAAAATGATCAGAAGTATTAATCAATTGAAATTGTCAGTACATTTTGAGACACCATTAAGTTAGCTCTTCAAGATGCTTGTCACAGTTTTGAATGCACAGCCTTACTCAGTTCAAACAAGAATTTACTGTCCATTGCATCATTCTGTTGTGTTCTCATATGTAAGCAGCATTCACAGTTCAACAGAAAATTTCACTCTCATGTGTATTTTGATGTTATAGACTATATATGTCATTATATCCAATAAAAATAAATTAAGTGGGCTTAGGTCCAGAGATCTCTGTGATCATTCTGCCTATCCTGATAATGCTGATTCAGTTGAGCTGTAACATTGCAACCAACAGGTGGATGAACCTCATTATGCTGAAAGAATATAATGAGTCTTGGCTCTAGAAGCATGCCCTCCATTAAAAACAGTTCATCTCAGAGAGAATATATAATTAGCAGAAGTTAAACGTGTTCCAAAATGAATGGTCCAGTCAGACCACAACAAACATTCTCTGAGAACTGATATTGGAAGGTGCTTTTAGCAGTCCCATAAGGATTATCAGTGGACCACAAATCAAAATTTCTTGTATTGTTAATTGCATTGTAATTGCACTGTCCTTCGTCACTGAATGGTATGTGGCAAAGACTCTGGTGATGTAGAAGCATCCACTGACAAAACTGAACACAAGGATCATAATCATCCAGTTGAACCATCTGCATACACTGCATTTGATGAGGATGAAAATCTTCATAATATATGGTTTGCCATACCCATTATACAGATTTACTAGGTAGATTAGACATCCCTTGAACTCTGCTCACTGGGCTTCATTGTACTGAGTTTTAGTATGTATGTATCTTCCATAGCAGCCATCATGCTGCATGATCTTGGCTGTATGGAGCAGTTATACCTATTTCCTGTAATCTTTGATGTGTATGTTGAGGATTTTGTGGTTTGAAATGTGTCTACAGTATTTGTCAACTGCTGCCCTGCTGTTAATATCACTGAATACAAAATGTAATGGGTATCAGTGTATTCAGTGAGATTGACCTGTTGATTTATTTTTCAAAAGAACAAATGGATAAAATACAGTTTTTACCTTATTGCAACACATTGTCATATTTGACTCTTAGCATGAATCAAAAGCAAGTGAGGCAAGAAACATCTGAGAATCAATAGTGGCTGCTATCCAATTGAAACTGTCACAAGTATTGCCATCAATCGAATTTCACTGAAGTTAACCGAAACTTTCACCAATGTTTCCATCTCTTACATAGAAGTAGGTGTTTGCTGTAGGATTCAAGGCTCTCACAGCTGTGGTTGTGAAGAGTTCTATCTTCTAGGATACAGTGGTATGTAATCCACTGAACCAAATGGACTACATGGTGTTATATCACAGAAAATAGAACTCCATGTATTTGTTGTCTCTGTATATTAAAATGTCTGTAGCTCAAGGGTTGGAAGTAAAACCAGTGCAGCATTAATATTTTCTACTCAACATTACCACATGAATCGCCTCTGGAAATATGGTAGACTTGTTATAAAACACCTTGTGAGAAGCTTGCTGGCTGCTTCCTCTGTCCTCTTAACTTGGCTTACACTTCAGTCCTCAAGATGGAAGTGATACCATCATCTAAAAATGATTAACTTTCTATGAAACATATCTTTACATCCCAGGTGCCATATTGTTCATAGACATCACTGAGAGACCCCCAGAAACAACATAATGATTTCTTTCTTGCTAGTAATTTATTTGGTTTGTAGCGTCAGTACTAGAATATCAATTTTTGAAAACTGAATTATCATCATCATCATCACCGCGCACGCTCACACACACACACACACGTACACACGCATCTCTGTAAATTTACCATCAGTTTCCTTCATGTATATTAATACATGACTGATTTCAGCACTATACTTATTTGCTACTGACTCAGTGTCATTATTTTTTAATGAAAATTATCATGTTTAACCCCGACTTGGAATTAAACTGAAAACTGTGCTTAATTGTATTCTAGTCCAGCATCAAGTAAGACTTTATTTGGATATAATACATTAGAAAGAATAAGTTAGAAAAAACTGGAAAAAAATCCACGTGTTATTCAACTTCTGTGCAGTAAATGGTTAGTGTTCTGCCCAGCAGTGGCTGTAGTCAATTGGAGCATGATTGAAACTCTTCAGATTTTATTATGATGATGTAAATAACCATAAAATGATTAAATAACACAGTTTATTAAACTCACAGTACATATTAATGTTTTATGGGGAAGAATATTTCTCAGTTAAACTGACATCTCTTCACTGAACACAACAAATTTCTAGCAGCAATAAATTACATATAAGAGAATATAATTTTTACATTTATGATAATTGCAGTAAACTAATTATATTAAAATTTAGATTGTGGTTTTTTGGGTTGTGACACTATCTAGTATCATAGGTGGATAACATTGTTTTAGAGAAACGTGCTGCTACTCACATCAGGGTTCATCCGGGAAATAGAAGGAGAGTATTACCCAGAAATCTTTTCCATCCACACTACTACACAATGTCACAACCCAGAAGTCCACAGTCTGAACACTCACCACTGTGAAAACCTGAAAATATATATATTTATGTTGCTTCTAAAATCAAAAATATTTTAGAGCAAATCCACAGCAATTTCAGAGCCTCTGGAGAGTTCTGAAAAGGTAATAGGTGGATAAGAAGGGTAACATTGTGTCACTACAGTATGGAATGCCTCCCCTTNATGTAACGTCATTTTCATTCCTGAATTTCTCTGATATCGTGGGAAAGTTCGATGTGTCTGCCCACCCTCACTTTCTCTACTTGCTGACGTGAATGTCCTGGAAGATTATGACCGCGGGCTGCAAGAGGAGTTTGGGTTTTATGGAAAACAAGGGTGTGGGGTGGGACTGCATGAATAGTGCAAGAGGATGCGGCAGGTTGTTAACTGCATTCCTTTCCTAGAATCTCATCTAACAGGACCTCACATTGTCTACTTACCCTATAGTGTTCCTGCCTAAACCCAGAGAAGTGCAGTAGCGAAAACATGGCAATGAAAAGGAAAGTTTTAAGCATTGAAGAGAAAGTTAAAGTGATTCGTGAAATATTGTGTGTATTGTCAGTGAAAAGCGCTGTAATATGTCTTTGATATTAAACATTTGGGCAATTCCACGTTAATGTTACGTTAGTCTGTACTTAACTACGTATTTCACAAAAAATGGAACATTTTAACTCAGTTTTTGGTAGATTTTTACGTGACTAACATAAGGCTACTGTGGAAGTGCCCATTTCGGTTACAGCGACATTCGTTTATAACGACACTATTTTTAGGTCCTTTTGATGACGTTATAACCAAGTTCTACTGTATTTATGTTGCTTCTAAAATCAAAAATATTTTAGAGCAAATCCACAGCAATTTCAGAGCCTCTGGAGAGTTCTGAAAAGGTAATAGGTGGATAAGAAGGGTAACATTGTGTCACTACAGTATGGAATGCCTCCCCTTACTCTGTCGTCTTGGCTCTTCAGTACACCATGCACAATACAAAAGCAATTCAACAATTTATCAGTAATTATGTACAAGAATTTTCTTTGTAACTTAGCACTTTGTTTTTTAAGGTTGACAAAGCAACGCCATTTAACTACCACCCTCACCCAGTAGATATGACTAACCTCACTCTAAGCAGAGAGATGCAAAACATGGCTGAGAGATTGGCTGAAAACGCTCATGATATCTGGGCAAAGAAGAAGAAGGAAGAGCTCACGACTTGTGGTAAGAACTGATAATTTCTATTGAAATTGTTTTATGGAAGCTTTTTATCCAGATTCAAGAGAGTGTATTTTCCGCTGTTTATAAACTAGTGACTAACAACAAATTATCATAGAATGCCTCCATTTTAAATAAGCATTGCCGATGAATATCAAATAAGTTGAATTCCATGTTATTTGTCACAATGGAAGAATTCAAATATTAGTATTTCTTAACCTTTCTCTATTGAGTTAGAACAGTGGCACTATCCTAATAGCACCATATTATTTATTACCTGCTGAAGTGTTTGGTATGTTCTAAATGTTAGCGTTCTAACTGTAGACCAAACTTGTGATAGGGTTGCTATAAGTCCAGGTTTGATTCTGACCTGGTGGTTGAGTATCCTGATGGAGATGTTTAATCTTTCTCTTTAGTCCTTCCTGACAGGTAATTGGACAGTATTTTATACTAGTCCATAATCACTAAGTTGCACATCCATCCTCATTCTTATTTTACACCCATTCTCCCACAACCTGTAAAGGAGGAAATTTGTTGTGAAATAAATTGAGAGAAAGAAACATCCAACCATAACTCTTTATGTACTTTCTTAGTTACTAACCAAAGCATTATTTTGAGAATATACATGCACATAAAACCACAAACATTTTTACTAGTATCAGAAGGGTTGCCACAAATTTTGTAGATCTGGGATAGCACAGTCATTATAGCGACTGCTTACGGGCTGGACGACTGAAGGGCCAGATTTTGAGTCCTGGTAGGGTCAAGAATTTTCTCTCTCTGTCATCCAGACCGGATCTGGGGTCCACCCAACCTCCTATCCAGTGGGTACAAGGGGCTCTTTCCCCAGGGGTAAAGCAGCTGGGCGTGAAGTTGACCACTCAGCTCCAACTAGTGCTGAGGTCAAGAAAATGTGGATCTATATGTCCAGTCCCCCATACGCCTTCATGGCGTAGTGCTTAATTTACCTTTTAACACAACTTTTGTTCTAAACATTTCTCTATCTTTTGATTACTCGGTGAGCCATAGAAACATATATAGGTCTTCATGTAAAGTGGTAATTTAAACGCATCTGATATGAATGAAAATTGAAATATCTAGACAATATTTCATAAAATTCTCTGACATCAAAGTCATGAAAATCCATCCATCAGTTCTCAAAGTGTTCCCCGTATAGAGACGGATGAAGTGAAAAACCTATTACATGCTCCATAGGATTTCAAAATCACCTGGAGAGGTTGATTACCACTTCAGGTATGGAAGCATTAAAACAGCTCTTCAGCACATCTGATTAACACCCATAGAACTGTGAAACAAACATAATTTTCAGGTCAAAAATTGTCAGTCGTTGTATTGACGGAAAATTACAACAAAACTCTATTTAAGATTTGAGGTTTTCACGGTGGTGACTATGAAGAATGCCGTCTTATGGGATGTGGTGCCATGTAGATAAGTGTAAACTGTTTTTTCGGAGGAACTTATCACCTCCATCTTCAGGGTATAAAAATCCGCGAGCGAGGAACCAGCGTGAGCAGGTGGGAATGTGGGGACACTTAATTATGGCCTAAGTATATAGTATTCTTAAATATATTTAATTATATCAGTCAAGTGGTTAATGAAGTTGACAAACCTACAAAAGACATGCATTTTGTTGTCATTTAGGAGGAGCTGTCAGTCCACAGTTGGTGCCATATGATTTGCTGACTGACAAGGAGAAGAAAAAGGACAGAGAGCGTTCACAGGAATTCCTCAAATATCTACAGTACCAAGGCTACAAGCTACACAGGTAAGTAACTCATGTAGTTGTACCAGCTTTATAACATGATTATTACATATATATATATTTTATTCCTTAAAATTAATGTGTCATGAAGAAGAATATAGATGTTCAAATTCCAGTGCTAGAGCACATAATTGAATTGTACCCTGAGCATGTTGTGTCCATGCATATGCTCACATGCATATGCTCGTATGTCTCTGACTCTTATTTTTGTACTACACTCCCATCAGATTTAAAGCTTCCAGATTGCTTTTCAGGATTTCTCTAGGCCTAGACCAAATTATTTAGTCCTGTAGAAATAATAATATAGCAAATATTCTTTGTACATGCAGCGCTCAATTCACTGCAACAAAGTTTTTACCTAGCAACAGCTGTTTACCCAGCCATTGCTTAGTATTGGCTGCTTTGTGGTCTCTGATTGGGTAGCTCTCAATTCACTTTGGGTGGTTCCCACAAGTAATTCAGTGTTTCAAAGGAAAACAGGTATATTTGTAATATATTAAAAAAACTGTTTGACAGGAAAACTTGAGTGACAATCTTTCTTCTTCTGTTAAGGCCCAACCGTGGTGGTGGAACTGAATCAGAACAAGCAGCTACAGGAGCTGCAGTGGAACTAAGGTTTGCATACAGCCTGCTGGAAAAACTTATACAGTACTTGGACTCAGCTTCCATCAATATGAAACTTCTTAAACCATCAAGCACTTTCAGTAGAAGAAACAGCTTCAAAACTTCCACAAGGGACATTAAATTTTTCTCAAAGGTATCTTATATTTGTATAAAAATATTCGAGAGACAAAACAGTAAAGTCAGGTGAAGTACTATGCGAGCTGGATAACTGAAAAAGAAAATTCCACATGCCAGACATACCAACAGAAGAGCACAAAATATTCCATTCTTACTATGTACTGTGTGGAAGTAAATAAAATGAATAATACTGTCTGTAGTTACTAAAGGATTCTGACGATGGTGTATAACACACTGATANAGAAACTGGACCTAGTGATTGAGGCTAGCTCTTTCTAAGGGACCCAACTGAATAGGTGTTTTCCTTCACCTGAGGACGGAAACAGATCCAGTTTCCGAAACGTCGTGTTTTTATTTGTTATCTTAAAAACCAGGACGATGGATAAAGTCCAAAAACCCAATATATCAATACTGTCTGTAGTATGTCTGTGGACATTTAGATAAATGTTCCTCCATTTCTTTTGTACCAAACTTAATTTTCGTTCTTATGAGAAAGACCTGCCAAATTGTTTATTAGAGGTGATGAGCATGATTTACTTACTTCATCATTATACTTCCAGTTATGAGGACATCAAAAATGGAATTAAAAATATTAGAATCCATTCACTAGAACAAAACTGTGAAACCTAAGTAGGTAATATCTAAATCGCTTGAGGACTTACATATCGCCCTGCCTGCCCTTACACCTACATTTAAATGGCAATAAGCCCCTACTGTTGCAGTATGGTTATCAAAATAAACTAATTTTAAACCTTCTGTGATATATATCAATACATAAAATGCATTTTAAGTTTTAAATATAAATTTAAATCTAAATCGTTCTATTTATTAAATTTACAGGTGGTGTTGCCGTTGATGGAAAAATATTTCAGCACTCATAGAAATTACTTCATTGCTGTAGCAACTGCTACTAACAATGTAGGGGCTGCATCTCTGAAGGAGAAAGAAATGGTGGCCAGGTACATAAAAAAGGTTGTGTTTCATCAAGTAAGAAAGTTGAATGAGGCACAGATTCATATAATTTACAAGTGACCGACACTTCGGACTTGTGAAGCCTTGGTAAATTTCTTTATTATCTCTTCATGCAGTAAGCTGTAGGGGAGGCAATACAGGTAATTATCTGTTGGGTCTGAATGGTTTAATAAAATATGAAAAATGATTAAGTCACTAAATTTGGAAAAAGTGAAAAGTTCAATTTCTTGTTTTGTAAGTATATTAAATATCTGTGCCTAAGTAAAGTATAGCTCTCATACATTGTTCTGGGAATTTTGTGTTAATGAGGAAGTGAGATTTAAGTGGCTTCAGATGCACTTGTACACACACACACACACACACATGAGATTCCATAAAATTCCTTCCAATTTTTGTTTTATAGTTTGTTTTGCAAACTTGCCAACCTGCTACGTTCCCGCCTGGCAGCATTTGGAGCTGATGTGCGCATTAGTGTCAGATGTTTACAAGTGTTAGTAAAGGGAATTGATGCCAAGTAAGTATTTGCTTTAATGTTATATTCAGTTTGTGTTTAATTCCTTGTCTTACACTTTAACAAACATGACCATGAAAATGTAGATATTAATGTAGTATGAGTATTTTTATTGAACCATCCCCAGAAACTCTCCAAGTCCATTCATTTTTAAATTTTCAGACATACTGATCAATTGACTGCCATCTAAATTGTCATAAAGAAATAAATGATAACAAAATTTCTATATTCCCTGAATATGTTAAATGGAGTTATAGTAAGAAGGAGGCTTTTAACTATTAGAATATACAGGATCCGGCAAATCGACCTCCCGTATTTGGAGAGGGCGCTGTGTGAGTTNTGTGGACTTCTTGATGAGTGTTCTGCTTACCTCTTTGCATAATTTCATGATACCTCTGGGTTAACAGTTAATTTTGTTGAACAATTTGTGTACAGATCACTGGTGAAGAACTGTCCAGAATTTATTCGTACATCAATGTTGACTTTCTTCAATAACACAGCAGAAGATCTGGCACACACTATACAGAATCTGCATGATGTAAGTTCAACTGAAGAAAAATTTCTTATGAATGCTGTTTTTAATATTAAAATGAAACTGCTACTGTTTACTTACATGGAACACCTTGAATGTGTAGGGCCGTTACAGCCATTTGAGGGGCGCTCACTTGAAAACGTCTACATCTCTGTTCTACTTAAATGGTGTCATTCTACCAGTTCTGACCTCCATGTTTGATCATCTAGCAGCTTGCGAGTACGGAAGTGATCTACTATGTAAGTATTTAAATTTGATCATTAAACTGTGAAACCTATGAGAAGAGAATTCTACACAGAATGTCCAGGTTCTGTTAGGACTGTGTTCATTAAAAATACAAGACATGAATTATTTTCAAAATTTCACTCTTTTTATTCAAAATAGTCTCCTTCTGAATCAATACATAGCTGGAATTGATGGAACAGTTTTCGAAAACAGTCACTGTACTCCTTTTGTGGAACTGCGGTAGATTCCCTTTGGATTTCCTGGATGGTGTCGTGATGGAGTCATTTCATCGCCATCTTAGCTTTTGGGAACAAGCAGAAATCTGCTGGAGTTAAATCTGGCAAATACAGAGGATGATCAAGAACTGTGCTCCCTTTTCTGGCCAAAAACCACGCATGATCTTCGATTTGTGGGGTGGGGCATTGTTGTGGAAGAGCGACCAGGAACTTTGCTCCGATATTCAGGTCGAATTCGAAGAATTCTCTCCCACAAATGACTGAGGACTCCGAGATAATAATCACAATTCACTGTTTGACTTTCTGGCAGAAATTCCTTGTGAATGATTCCTTTGGAATCGAAGAAAACGGTTAGCAATGTCTTTATTCGACTCTTTTGCGTGCATACTTTCTTTGGTTTCGGCTTCTTTGGGCTCAACCACGCTGCACTCTGCCGCTTTGTGAGAGGCTAATATTGAAAACACCATGTCTCATAACCAGAAACAATCGATGTTGTAAATTTTGTATCACTTTGGGCCGACTGTAACTCTGGCATGTTTTTCATCGCCTGACAACGCGTGCGGTACAAACTGCGAACAGACCTTCCATTTGCCCAAATCCTTGGTCCAATTTTGATGCACAATACTTTTTGGTATTCCCAAAAGCTCCTCGAGTCTTGCAGAAACACATCTGTCTGATGCAAGGATTTCGGTCACTTTTTTCGCATTTTCTTCAGTGCGACTTGTTCTTGGCTTTGATGCACGTCTTCAATACAGCATACCATCAAAAAATGTTTGAGCAACTCAAACAATCACTACCGTACACACTTTTCATCATATCATATGCTTCTCCAGCTGCTTTGCCTAACGTAAAAAAAAAAAATTCAATGTTGGCTCTCTGTTCAACCACCATTTTCCAGCGAGCGTCAGAACAGTACTGTTACATTCAAGGTCAGAACACATGATGCAGCCATGCTTGTGCTTTGAAATTATAGACGGCCACAACTGAAACTTCAAGAATCTTAATGCCACAACAGATGGCATTGCAGGGAAAAATTAAAAAATATGAGTCCTAATGGATCCTGGACACACCGTGTAAATTCACCACACAGGTGGAACTGATCTCTTATGCAAAGTCACAAAAATATACCAGAGAACATGGTATGAAAATTTGTCAACTAGATGTATGGAAATATAATATTCTGAGGATAATTAAATTTGTTATATCAAAGTAAAATTTATAGATTACCTTTTCATATCTGTAATTCTATCTTCAAATAAGTACTGTATGCAGATCTGTATAATTTAAGACTACTGCCCTTGTTAGTTGCGCATATTCATGTAGCTCTCTTTGATTCCAGTGGATGAAATCCAAGTGGCTTCTTACAAAATGCTGGGCAGTTTATATACATTGGGGACTGATGGATCTTTGACAGGAGACAGGTAATTCATCATTATTTTAGCATCAGAACATGTGAATATGATTTGAAATTAGCACATATATATGATCACATAACCATTGCTTTCAGGAAATATTTGAAGACTGAAATTGAGAGGCATCGTCCTGCTCTTGGGAGCTGCCTAGGAGCTTTCTCCTCAACATTCCCAGTTGCTTTCTTAGAGCCTCATCTCAACAAGCACAACCAGTTCTCCCTTCTCAACCGCATTGCGGATCATTCCCTGGAGGCACAGGGTTAGTGGCTCTTAAATTGTTAAGCATAGACCCTTTTCATATTTGAGGCATGATTGAAATATTTCCAGAGTGATCTTTTTTCTTCTTACATTTTAAATTTAGTGGCTCTTCCGTAGTATCCCCTTCAAAGTAGTTCTCTTGTGGCCTGATAGAATAAATCCAGAGCTTGTGCTATTGATTGAAGCATCCATGCAGTTCATATTGTTGAACTCCAGAATTGTAGTTTGTAGTTCTTCTTTGATTGTGATAAGCAATGAGATCTTTTCCTCTGAGAAATATCATGAGTACTGGAAAAGGAGAAGGTCTTGTTGGTCTAGAGCTGGGGAGTATGGAGAGATGGAAGTGCGGGATAAGTTATAATCTTCTGACCAAAAGGGGGATGTGAGATTTGAGGTTCTCTTGGTGGTGGCTGAAAATTACAGTCTCATGATATGTAATGCCTTGTAGTCTGATAGAGAGAAATGAAAATTTAAAGAAACTTCGTGCCTCCATCTTCAGACTGATGATGGAGAGAGCAGGTTCCTTTGAAACTTTGATATCTACATACCCAAGTACATAATGTCATATTCCAGAAGACAGTATGTATAAGTTGAATAGCTATTATATATTATGTGGATCTGGGTTATGTTCTTTTATAGTTAACAGTTTAGAGTACTACTACATTATGACGGGGGCACATGATAGTTTAGTTGGTTGACGCACTATGCTACAAGCTGGAAGGTCGTGGATTCAATTCCTGATGAGGTCACTGATTTCTTTAAATTTACCTAATCCTCAGCCTCTAACAGAAATGAGTACCAGGAAGATTCCTGGGGGGTAAAAGATGGCGGGAGCATAAGGCTGGCAAACTTACTACCATCTGTTAGCTGATTTTATTATTTTATTATTTATTTATTTATTTATTCACTTCACATCCATGGATCATTATACATGACATAGGACAAGTATAGAAGATGTGGGAGCCTCGACCTCTCACACCCGTTTTCCTTCACGGCATGTTACAGGGACAGTTTTACCTCTTTGTTTACTACATTATGACACATTTCTATGTTTCAGATGTGATGGCCAGGATGGAGGCTACTATGCCAACACTAGAGGCTGTTCTCACAGAAGTGGACCAGTTTACTGAATCAGAGAAAAGTTACGCAGATGCTCCCCATGTTATTGATGTTATTCTACCTTTACTTTGTTCATACCTTCCATTCTGGTGGTCACAAGGACCAGACAATGTCAGCCCCACAGGAGGGTGAGTCCTGTGTTTTGAGAATGACTTTAAATAACTGTGTACAGGCAATATAAGCATTAGTTGTTCCAAGTATTTGAACATGAAATTGTTGTTGTAAAATAAGCTCCACCTCTTTGTCTTATATTTTTGACTATACATAAGTTACCTGCAAATGTAGATAAAATCAGATTGTAAATATTCGAGACAAAAAATGAAGGACCTGCTTATCTCTTGGGGGGGAAAGGGGGTAAAAATATTCTTCATCTAAAATACAGGTAATTATAGTGTTTTTTAGGGGTGGGTAAATTTTCTAGGTACCAATTTTAGTTAGACAAATCAGCATGTACTGAATTTGAATATGTGACGTGCATGTATCCCTGAGATCAAACAACGTGTTCTCTTACATGAATCATTGAGCATGTTAAATCTTTATTCTGCAATGAGAATTATCATTGATGTAAACATAAATCCCACCCAGATATTTACAAAATGTTTTTTAGCAAGAAAGATACCATATTAATACTGGCATATAAAATCTTTTCCTTTTATAGGTTTAGATTATTCATATTGTAGTCTAGTACTAATCATAACTGGTGGGTTTGGTGAGTCCAAGTGGCTGTCTCTTGACTGTTATTTACTGATTTCTCTGAAGCAGTCAAAATAAATGGACTTTGATTATTGCAAATTATTTTGAACTACTGATCACCTTGACATTCTGCAATTTTTGGAACATGTATGAAGTAAAACGATGAAGAAGGTTTTGGATTCATCACTTGTTTGTGGCAAATGCCTATCGATTTACCTAACTTCTACTTGAACAAGTTCACGGACTCCATTTCCAAGATGTGAGCACTTATTAGATGGATTCCTCTGCTGTGAGGTATAAAGTGACAGCGAAATGATAGACAACAAAACTGCCGCTTAAGAAGGGTTCTGATCCACTGTGACAGCCAGGCAGTCTCCATATTCCCAGAGCCTAAGCTTTTCTAGAAGCTTTGATCTCTGTGTAGAAAAAATGCATACAGATCTGTTCATGGATCATATCTAGGCTCTTTGGAATGAGGTCTTACCAAAACCAACTATTCCCAAACTTCAGACTTATTCATAATATGTAAGTTCATGGAGAATAATCTGTACATTTCTGTTGATCTGAACGCATGTAGGCAGGGTAGTTCTCGGTAAGACCGCTAAATCTCAGTATTGTTGATTTGTGCAAGTGCATGTGTATGTGTACGCGTGTATGCTCACACAGACACACAGCACAGAACCTGAAAATTACATGAAAACTTTTTGTAAGGAATTCTTCAAAGCATCTTAAAGGGGACATCAATCATGACACTTTTTCCCTAGTGGTAAATGAAGTTCAAAATTAATTCCACAGTCCCTTCTGACTCTTCATCTTGCTACATAAATATCATGAATGCTGTTTGGCAGAGGAATAACTTTATTATAATGGAGAGCTATGAATATTTTTCTTTCATTCCTGGAGAACAAGGCTGATACATTATAGCCAAATTATGCATTATTAATGAGCACACAGTCTTCAGTTTACAAACTTTGAGAGGTCAGGGGCTCCCTTTAGGAAATATCCGTGATTCAGGTCACATTTAGTAAACTATTAATGGTCACAATTCATGGGTTTGTATATAATTCAGTGATGATTTTATGAGTGTAATTAATGTTACATGTTTCAAGGGAGAATGAGGATTCAAAGAGGTACTACATGATTTAGATATAAGTGATTTTTTCTTTTTACTGTCCAGAACACACGTGTCCATGGTGACAAGTGAACATATGAACCAGTTACTGAAGAATGTTCTGAATCTTATCAAAAAGAACATCGGTAATGAAAATGCTCCATGGATGACAAGGATTGCAGGTAAACCTGTAAACTACTGAGTTCTTTGTTAATATTTATTGTGTTAGTTTTTAATTGTGCATTTTAACTTATACTGAATGAATGGAAGAATGTATTTAGGTACCGAAACTAATATTACATAGCTTTGTATCATCCAAAATTGAATTTACACTACCCATTTTCATTTAGCATACACACAGCAAATTATCATCAATTCATCTGAAGAACTGCTGAAAGAACCATTCCTTCCTTTGGCTGAACGTGTAAAGAAACGAACTGATAATATGTTCCACAAAGAAGAATCACTGAGAGGATTCATTAAGTCATCCTCTGATGACACTTCTCAGGTAAGGGATTGTTGACTGTTTCATTCTATTAGATTTACTTGCTTCATATCAAGAATTGAACTAACTGCAGCTTTTGATGGTAGGTATTTTTTACTGAATGGTTTTATTTGTTGAAACCTAAATTTCATTAACTCTATCTTTCTCACTTCCTGAGACTAAAAATACACATTGTTGTATTATGTTTCATCTTAACCATCATGTCCCACTATTCCTGTTAATGTTACAATAACAGTTTTATTAACTATATTGGCAGTGAATGTACTTGTAGAGGCAAATAATATAGGAATAAAGTCACAGTTGTCTGATTAGAAATTATTTATTAAAAGTTTGAGTCACAAATTTATCTGCACAACCCAGATTTTGCTTTCAGGGAAAAGGTTTAATTTTTTCAAGAAATTGCAGTATCAGATTTGCAGGTTGAATGTTTTATGTGAATACCAATATTGAACCCTTTTCTTGTTCCAGGTGTGCTGCATGTTAATAACAGAAAATATATCAGATTACTTGAGTGATAAGAAACAAATGATAAATTAATATGTGGAGTTGCAAATATATAAAACTGGCTGATGCAGTTTCTTCTCTTATTGTTGTGTTGGTATGTCATCAAAATACTTGGCAATGGAAACTAGCACAGGCTTTCCTTACCATTTTTTAATCTTCATTTTAGATTGAGTCTCAAATTCAGGAAGACTGGCACCTGCTAGTGAGAGACATCTATGCCTTCTATCCACTTCTTATCAAGTATGTTGATCAGCAACGTAACCACTGGCTGAAGAACAATGTGGTGGAAGCTGAGGACCTATATAACCATGTTGCAGACATCTTCAACATTTGGTCCAAGTCACAAGTAATGAGTTTCAGTAGTTAGTGCAATGTACAGTAAAACTGATTTTACACTTTTGAAGGCATATAAAATTGTCGAAACACTGATGAAAGTTAAAATCAGGAAAATGAAAATTATGTAAAATAAAGAAAAAATGTGTGTTGCTGTACATGGTAACTTTGGAAGGCCATTTACAGTGTGTGTGTTTAACACAATATTGTCAGCCCATTTAAAATGTGCATGTTTTAGTGCAATAACAATCAGATTGAAAATACTGTGCTGCATATGATATTCAGAAGTTCCAGAATGCTCATTAACTTTTGCTGTAAAGCACAATAGACCACTGTAGGTTGTGGTGCAAGGGCTGAGAAGGCACACCCTATTAACAGCAGTGAATATGCAATATCTAATACCATGTAAATATCATCAACTATGAACTTTGTAGTAGCTATTGAATTATAATGGTGAGTATGCACGTGTATCTTGTATCTGCAGCTAGTTCAGCTCATTCATATGATATTCAGAAACTTTCATATGTAAAGATATACCTATTATACTACAGCAAACCATGAACATGAGCAGAAAAGAGCCAGTGTTTCTTTGAATTGTCCATAAGAGAACGCTGTGAACAATAAATCAGGAAAATTCCCATTGTCAGGACTAGAAAAATTATTGAAAATTTTGGAAAAGCATTAAATTGGAGAGTGAAAAATCTAAGTTTTGCTGTATCTTACCTTAATCACTTTCACATAACCCACTGGTTCGTCATGCCAGTCTTCACTGTAATGTTAAACCTAATAGGCCTGTAGAAATAATATTAGAATACTGAATAATTTTATATTAATTATAGTTCAAAAATTCTCCCTCACTCTTCAACAGAAAGGAGGAAATTATTTATTGTTCTCTGATGCTGTAATATTTATTTCAGCAATTAAATACACTTTTGACTCCTACCTCTTGCAGTGGTTTGATATGTTCATCGTGTCTATCAGGTACTTTTTAAAATTGTATATTAATTTTTATGTCTCATGTAATTTGTACTCATATATATGTATATATATATATATATATTGAGAATCAACTGAAATTTTGGACAAACATATTGCCTTTATGGTTGAAGAGTCAGTCAAGTAAGAAACCAGAATGAAACAGGTGGAAAGCTGTCTTGCACTACTGAAGTTCGAGGCAGTATGTACCTTCAAAATGTCAGTTAACATTCAGCGGGCTACACAACATTATATCCCAGAAGACAAAACTTCTCTTTACCATAAAACCCAACACATTTCTTATTCTTCCCCCTCCTAATATTTGTCTGGTCCCCCTAGTTGACAATACTCCTTCGTGTTTTTTTTTTTAAATGTGATATATACATACTTCCCAAAATCATCCAGACCAATCAGAAAGTCAAATAATTTAGAAATATGTTTGTATTGTTTCAGTACTTTATGCGTGAGGAGCAGAATTTCATATCCGCTAATGAGATTGATAACATGGTACTGATCATGCCTACAGCAACTCGCAGATCCGCTGTTGTTTCTGAAGGTGGGCAAGTTGCTGGAGGAAGTAAGGTAAACTGGACTTTAGTTCATTCTACTGGAGGCTCATAATATCCAAAAATGATATAAATATGTAACTATAAGCCCAACCCCTAACTTCAAATTGTGTATGACAAAATGTGGAGCTAAGGTATGAATAATACTATTGATATGGTTATACTTCTTTGGAATGGTTGAAGATTTTAAAATAGTGAAGAATATGACATTCTCATTGCCATTAGCACTATCTGAACCAAAGCATTGTATTGGGTGTTTAGAATCAAGAGGTTACAGTAACAGACTCCTATTATCCACTTGCTGATAGCATTTCTTAATATTTCAGTGCAAAAAGGAACTATTTGCGAATTCTCTCATTCTTAGAAAACCACATAAAATGCTGTATATTATCACTGATTTTGTTTTGTCATAAATATTAAGAATGGAGGCTGGAAAAAATGATTGCAGTTCAATTTGATCAGGTGTTTCTCAAGCATTATTACAAATTCATGTCTAATTTTGGTGCTTCTCGAGACTAAGAAGCAGGAATGGCTACTTGGAGAAAAATGTAATTCTCAAAGATTTTTTAAACACTCAGTAGAATGTCAGAACAAAAATCATGCCTTACTAGTAAATGATCCTATTATAAATAAGTCTCTTACGTTCTTTGGTGCTAAGAGAAACATTTTTTAGACACATATAGTGATTATTATCATTTTTGATATGAGATATTTTGAATAAAAATATGTTGATGAAATACTGAGGGTTGGGGCTTTGGAGGTTTCAAGCTGCAGTTAATGAAATAGACTGACGCATTCTTGAAGTGTCGTTAGATATTTCCATCTCACTTTGAAGCCTAATGGGACAACAAAGCCAGAATGGCTGCTTGAAGAAAACTATAACTTTCCTAAGAATTATACAACTCTCATGGGATAATCAGGATGCAAAATCGCCCTTAGAATTGGGCGATTCAGTTATAAGTAAACCTCTTACATTCTCTGATGCCTAAAGAAATATTTTAGGCATACTAGAAAGGAGAGATATTGGAGTGAATTTAGGAAGTTAATATCATGACATAACAGGACAGTGGATTACATTTGGCCAACTTGAAATATATGTCAGAGAAGGGCTTCCCTTTAAGACATTAAATATGAAATGATCAAAGAGATGCAAATATGTCTGAAGTCTTAAGTAGTACTCAGACTTAGTTATTTTTTTTATACAAAAGAGATATGTAAATGTTTTTACGTTTTCCAGCTTAATGTGCTGTTATGGCTTTGAAACAAAATTCTGAATGTGCAAGGTGTTATGTTTCTCATGTATAAATAATATATTTTTCCTGTATGTCAGAAATAATATGTAACTTACAAATTTCCTTTGTGAATAAACAGAAAAAGAAGAAACATCGTGATAAGAAGCGTGATAAAGATAAGGAACTGCAGGCTAGTTTGATGGTTGCCTGTCTCAAGAGACTTCTGCCAGTTGGTCTCAACCTTTTTGCTGGTAGAGAACAGGAATTGGTTCAGCACTGCAAGGATCGTTTCCTCAGGGTAATTGCAATGTTTATTACAGTAGGATATCATCTTAAACTGGATTTGAGGAAGAGGACTGGATTCAGCTGGCTCAAGATAGAATTCAGTGGTGGTTTCTTTTAAATGTAGTAATGGACCTTCAGGTTCCATCAGAGGTGGAGAGTTTGTTTATTCACTCAGTTCCATCAAGTTAGTGGAATGTCATCTGTCCTGCAGAATATCATGCAAAGACATTAAATGTCTAAGAGAAATATTCTCTTGTCTTATGACCTATTTTCTAAAAACATTTTTTTCAACTGAACCCTTGCTGTTATAGTCCTTACATAACACTCTCTCTGACAAGATAGGTTTGTCTCTTATGAATATGCTTGGCCTTTTGTCAAGAGTATGTATCACACATTTGGCATGTTATTGAAAATTCTTCCTTTTGCACTATATGCAAGTCCCCTGTCAGTACAGGATTTGCAAAGCAGATCATGCCTATCTTATGTAGCTAATGCTACAATGGCAGCTTAGTCACTCAGTCATCACTTCATCCCACTTATATAACTCCTTAGCATGGACCATCATAGAAAACCTTATTTCCAACAGCACTTCTGTTGTGTGGTGTTCCACTGCTGTGGAGACATTGCTTAAATCATTTCTGTGGGAACATGTTTTCTTAAGTACATTACCCAGCAACAGCTCTAGTATGTTTGCTTACCTCACAGTCGTTGCCTAGTAATGGCTCTACATGCCACAGTGTGATTACAGAGCATATGTATACAGAACTCTAAATTAGGGGCATAATGGTAATTGGTATGATGATCGATGGTGATGAACAGTTCATGTTAATATGCTTTCACTAAGACTAAGTCACAGTAGTCATGTATTAGTGTAATCTCTTTCTCTAATTCCTCATTTATTTTAATATGAACCCATAATATTTTGTGGTATACAATCCTTTCATTGCATTGACATTAGAATATTTTAATGCTTTAAGTAAAACGTCTTACCATTTAATTTCAGAAACTGCCAGAGAGTGACATAATGGAATTTGCCAAAATACAACTTACTCTTCCTGATAAGATTGATCCAGCAGATGAAATGTCATGGCAACATTATCTTTACTCCAAGCTTGGACAGAAGAAGACTGATGAGGAAGGCAAGCCCATGAAAATAGATGACATTGTTGAGAGGATTGTTGCAATGTCAAAGGTTCTATATGGACTGCACATGGTGAGTCAGAATATGACAGTTAGTGTCTCAGTCAAATCTGGATATCTTACATGGTATCTTATTCATAAATATATTTACTGTAATATATGTGTAAGGCACATGTATGTTCTGGACACTCCTACATTTTCCTTGAACACAAGAAGATGTTTTTCTTTTACAAATTTGACAAAGTTATAAGAAAATGTTAAAACTGATATTCCTGCTTAACCCTTTTAGGACCATGGTGCAAGAGCGTGAACTTGCATATACAGGATGTAAATAAATACATGTTACAACGCTCTGTGGTAGACAGATGGGTTCAATGTGATCATATTTTTTTTAATACGCCCATGTCCAGAAGTGCTTTATTTACGTGCTAGGGCCTCTGAAATGTGAAGGAGGATGCCCTTACCTCTTACCTCTGTGGCTTACTGGTTACATTTACCTAACATTTCTCCAAGAGACCTTACCTGAGCTGCTGGAAGTGGTGCCTTTGGAAACCCATTGTGAAATGTGGTTCAAGCATGATGCCGCCCCAGCACACTGCACTTATGTCCTCCGTGAGTGCTTTGATGAAATTTTGGCAACAGATGGATTGGACGTAGAGGCCCAATAACCTGGCCCAGTCACTCCTCTGACTTGACTCCACTGGATTTCCTTCTCTGGAGTATATGCAGAGCCTGATGTATGAGACTTGAGTGGAGACACAACATGATCTTGTGGCAAGAATTCCAGTAGCAGCTGGAACCATTCGGCAAATGCCGGGAATCTTTCAAAGAGTTCAGCCTAACATGGCCAGGAGGTACAGAACATGCAGTGAAGTCGGTGGCCGCCATTTAGAGCAACTTTTATAATGTAAAACAAAGATAACATCCCCTAAAATTAATGCGTCCTCTCGGAAACTTTTGTGGCCCTTAATGCGAAAAGGAAGTGTTTATAGACATTGATGTATTAAAATAATATTATGAGATTGAACCCATCTGTCTACCACAGAGCGCTGTAACATATATTTATTTACACTCTGTATACATTCACAGGCCATGACTCAAATATTTGCCAGTCAAGATTTACAGTATTTTCATTGTTTTCCTACATAATGTGAAGCAAAGTGCAACAGTGTTGTGTTGATTGTCTCTTGGGTATAATTTGCATTCTAAATTTAAAACTTTCTCGGTAGATAATGCTAAGTTCTACAGAAGTATCATGCCATGTGCAGCTTAATTTGTACATCATTGCACTGATTTCAACATATAATATTGTCACGTGTTGGGTAGGTCACGCAACAAATAACTTCACGCCATTTTGGATCTAGCGAATTTATTGCACATTCGCTCTTACATTTACACAATTTACAATCTCACAACTACTGCCATCAGCAGTATCATGATTACTTCTCCTGCTTCCATTCAGTCCGACGAATGCTAGACTGCAACTGACTGGTTACTCCCTCTCACTGACGAATACTCCTGTTATTTAGCATCCGCACTGACAACACAGAAAACAGTTACGCCATAGCTTTCACTGTTGTGTGATGTCGTGTTTACTGATTGCCGAGCAACAGTCGCTGCACGGGCTCCCCTGTTGCATGACACCATGTTTACAAAGGCGTTGCTGGGCAACGCTGCATAGCAACCAGGGCGCTTCGGCTCGGCACGGACAAACACCGCTTTCCTTACTGTTGCATAACCTTGTTCCACCTCCCGTTGCCCAGCAACGGTTAGACATGTCACAATATTATATACTGTTCCATGAACAAAATCTATGGATATGTACAATATGAAAATAATATTCCTTGTTATATTGATTGTATATGCCTGGATATTCTTTGTACTCCAAAATTTATAATAGATATGATTTCTTTCATGAAGTTATGCAATAAACTTTCTTTGCAGTGGTGTTTCCCTAAAACAAACCTGGTCTTGAAAAGGTTAAATTGTCATTGGTTAATCTCTCAATGGTAATGAATCACAAATCTCCATTAATTAATCTTTTATTGCTAAAAAGTTTCTAGAATTAAAAGCTGAGATTATATCCTAGTAGTAAATTTATACCTAATTTTATTCTTACATTTGTTACTGAAATTGCAATGAATATAGTTTATAACTTTATATAACTTTTTGGCCCATGAATACAGTAGAAATGTTCATTGATATCTGATTTAAAATACTGGTATGTTAGTCTATGAATACAATATGGTGTCTCAAAGTGATCAGGACTTATATCATTGAAAATGAATCAAATTAGTGAAATTGCTGAATAGTTTGACATGAAAATATTAATGTTAAATTATTAAATATTAAATAATATTAATCATATGTAATTCCAAAGAAAATATTCTGTTACTCTTAAAATATTACAGCAGCTCAGAATGAAATCATATAGCCAAAAGAGTAAAGTTTAAAGTTTTATTAGAATAAATGGTTATTTACCATTGGCCCATGTATAATATATGTCAACATTTAGGTTTCATATTAGAGCATTTTGACTTTATTTTACTCAACTTGTCTATATGGTCTTTGTCTAGGTTCCTGGGTTACAGAAAATCTTCCAGCCCCTTATAATCTAATTTGCATTCAGTTATAAATATTGACTACAATTCACATATCCAAATATTATTAGCACTAATAGATTATGAATAATATATGAAAACAAAAGACCATTTGCTTGTTATGAGCTAACATGTATTTCTATAATTCATTCATTCATCAGTAATCTGTCAAGACGACAGGCCCACAGTCTCTTCCAAAACAGTTCCTCCACTTGATGCGATCTAGAGCTTTCTCCTTCAAATGAAACATCTCGCATACATGGTATCTCTGGTTTTGGAAAGAGACTATCCAGGAAAATTGATAATGTGGTAGTTTTTCCATTTGCTTTCCACATCGCAGTACAATAGGCGTTCAAACCACTCTGGTCACGCCTGTTGCTATACGAACTTGAACCATCTCGAGCATTATTTACTCTGTGCTTCAAGTCGCTGCTGATGACGCTGCTTCCGGCATCAGTTTTTGGTGTCTCTCTTCGTCTGATGCCTACCCTTTGACCTGTCCAGCAAGGGAGGCCCTGCCAGTAGCTACGCTACCGCTGGTATAGCTCTCAGGGTCCTTGGCATACTCAAACCCCCTCACCACGAGGGGGATTTCTATAATAGTGAACAGAATTATTACAGTGCAGCTAAACTTGCTGCTACATGCTGACATTTGAAAATGCATATTTAAACCTTTAATACTGAAGGTAGCAATGCTCAGATGACACTGAGGTGTGTCTGAGTTTGCCTACTATGATCACAAGGTTAAACTCATACCTTAATTTCACAATTTTTCTAAACTGGAATGCAGAACTTGTATTATTTATTTTCTTCTGATATCCAGGAGATATTTCCCTTTGTATCAGTGGTTGTACTGCTCCATAGATATTTTCATTCACTCACAGTTTGAATTAGCAAAACTGCATATATGTTTTCATACACAGAAATGCATTTACATTCTCAGTGAATAAACAGATTTAAATACATCCATCTCTGCATATTCAGAAAATAAATATTATATTTTGATAATGGTGATATGCTGTATGGTGAAATTTCACAGTTCCACAGCTCTCTGAATCTTTCATTCCTCTATAATTTTGCTTCTTATTTTCTATTTCATTCTGCTGTATTATTTCCCTAGTTCCTCTCTAGATTAAATTCAAGTTGACAATAGATGGTTAAACTTACCCATAGATAAACATGTACACACTGACAAGCACGGTCCCACTTTATGATTTCCTTGTGTAGATTGACCACCCTCAGCAACAAAGTAAGGGCAGCTATCGTTCAGTTGTTTCCACGCAGAGGAAGCGTGCTGTCATTGCCTGCTTCCGACAAACATCACTGCATTCCCTGCCAAGGTATCGCTAAAAACTATGAGATGTACATGTACCACTGTAGAGCTTCCCTTGTGTGTTTTATTTTTTACTTTTTTTTTTCAGACCTATCAGCTGTACTTAAAATGAGAATAAAGGGCAGTAGGAATGACTCCAAAACTAACTTATACTTTGTTTCTACTGACATGTATGTTTATTGTTATATGCTTCTCCCAAAACTACCCTAAAAAGTCTAAACTAACTTGCATGCACTGAATCTGACGCATCTCTTTAAAAGAAGGATGGTAGTAGTATAATTTGGAATACCACAGAAATCATACAACATAAGTAACAAATAAAATAACTGGCATTTTAGGAATCTAATCTTTGCGCCTATCATGAAATTAATTCGACTTTTATAGGGATCAGTTACATATAGAAAGACAATCATTAAGCATGAATGATGTAATATAATAAGAAACGCTGGCTGTCCAGTTAAGCTGTGATTAGGGCACAGTAATGCCAAGAAATTGCTATTCACTTTTGTCATGCAATATAACTGACTTATTTTGTGAAATGACAACTTTCTGCTTATAAATACACCGCATAATATTTCTAGACACATGACAAGGCTCTTTTTTGTCTATATGAAATACAGAATGACTTCCTGCATGAAAATATATCAGTCTTTTTAGTGTGCTAATTCTACTTTAAATACTACCTAATGTGAATGGCAGCTAGTGAATTAACATCCTGTGTTTGAAATTTCATTTGTGTATTTTATGCCATTAAAAATCAACCTAAAAGAAGTCTTGTCTGTTGTATTTTCTCTTTTCTTCTACCCATTTCATAAAACTTATATATGTACATGATTTAATTTGCCCTTATTTATGTTTCCTTTTCCTTTCGTATGTTTACTTTATGTTCTTTCTTGTTTATTCTAAGTTAAATACTCTCACAGATGTTTGCAATAGCATTGTACATCATTTATTATAGCCCAAGGTGTATGAATTTCAGTAAATATTATTCTTATTTCTATATATTATTTTATATGCCAAAGTTATGTGCAAGCCAGAGAGTTGTTGTTCATGAGTGCAGTTGTATTCTGTATCAGGGGCAAGTTAAGAAAAAAAACATTCAACATTTATTACAATTTAAACATGTTCCCATATTCCTCT